GTAGCTCGACGATGAGAGGAAGGAAGAAAGCAGGTGTGGTAAAAGAGAAAGCGAGATATGCGCGTGATTTGACGTCACGCTACGCACAATCCGATCACTCATATCTCATGATCAGCAAGAATATTTATGAATGCAATGAACCGCACGTTCGTATGAGGTCAAGCTTCTTTTATTCTTGGTATGCAATGATGTTGTAATAGAACTTAATAAGAAGCTAATGAATTTTTCGACGCGTGTGGAAAATGTAGCACTTTTCGTGATATGTTCACGTTTCTCTTGTAGACACGAAGAAAGCATATATCGTGAAGAAAATGGTTCATTTCGATCTTTTTAGCGAATATAGATTTTGCATACAAAGCCAGATTTTGCAATTAGATTCTCAAAAATTTGTAATCAAAATCAAATTCTACACTCTAAGTGCCGCGAATATACGACTTGGAGCTTGACTCTTAAATCACTCGTAACTATTCGTATACGTAACTTGCGAGTGACATCCAATGAGCATACATCTATTCCGTAAAAGCAGTACGCTCATTGGATATCACTCGCAAGTTACGCATACGAATAGTTGCGAATAATTGAAAAATCGAGTTCCTTAAATGTAGCACGAATCCGTATTTTCATTTATTATATATTTTTAAGGTCTTAATTGCAAAATCCGACTCGGTACAAAGCACGTGGACTCGTTTAGAATTTATTCCAATCGGAATTGTTTAATTATTCCCTAAAAATATAAAGAAAAATTACGCCCAGAGAGAAACACGAGATCGGATAAATGACTACTAGACGTCGGAGGCGTCTAATCTAAAATAACGTCTAGAAATATTTAATTTAGACGCCATATGATTTTATGTCATTGTGTTTCCTCAGGCATAAAAGATCACTTACACAATAGCAGATCATTGTTCGTGAAACACCCTTTTAAGCTGCAAGACACTTCTTCAAATCTGACAGATATCTTATCAGCATCTAAGGGTGCGTTCGAGGAGGCGCTATTTAGCGTCATTACTGCATCATTCTATCTTTATTATTCTTTACATATACAACAAGGATAGAATAACGTGATAGCACTAAAAACCTTCACATATGGATTGTCGTAATGCCCGTATTAACTTGAGTTTAATGAACTTTGCTCTGATTGATTAGGCTTTAGCAGTAAGACTTAAATAGCCCCGGTCTACAATAAATATTTTAAACCTTAAATCTTAAGAAATTGATCAATCACAGTCGAATGTGAAAAGAATAATCAACTGTGATTAGTCAATTTCTTAAGGCTTAAGGCTTAAAATACCTATTGTGGACCGACATTTAAAGACTAGGTCTTATGTATCAACTGTTTAAGATCTAGTTACTTCTGCTTAACCCGTCAGTTCCCAAATGAATTGAAACCACAAATTTCTGTTTCCTCTTAGGAAATCTCATGTTTTGGAACCTAAAGAAACCAAATTTATAAGTTTTGAGTGTTTCAGAAAAATGGTAATGATAAAATTTGGAAGGTTATTTTTCGCTTATGTATCGCTTTTATTCAGTGTTGACAACTTGTTTTAGAGTCACTAGTATCTAAACTGAACACTTAGAGCTATGTTACAGGTTAGCAGTGTTATTTCGATGGTTTATAAGTCAAAAATATTGTGCCACCTGGAGGGGGCATTGAGAACTGATGGATTAAAGCTTAAAGCTTAAGTCTTAAATTGCCATTGATCTCGCTTAAAAGAATAAATTTATTTATTCTTACTTTTGCCTCTTATAGTTGTTTTGCAGTAACACATAGTTCAAGTATACTTCCTGCTTAATCTAAATGTCAAACGTTGTTCATAATACTGTCTTACGATTCTAGACAAGATTTTTATTTTTTTTCTTAGTTATAGTGATAGAAACCAATTGTCGGCAGTCGTCGTCTCTCCTACTTAAAAAAACTGAAATAGTATATTTATTTACGTTACACGGAACAATAAAATAAACAATTTTTGCAAATATAATTTGTTCAATATTTATTAAGGATTAAAAAATTTATTTACATTACGTTATGTTTGGTCACATACGCAAGAAAAACCGCTTCATTAATATGAACACTCATTAATCTACTTTGTTTGTTGATAACTATGTTGTTAAGAGTAAATACAATTCTCTCCGAGGTCGCTGAAGATCCCATCATTATATAATATTTTAAAGCGACTTCTGTTAATGCAGGAGACATAGAGTTACAACTATAGCAAAATTTTTATGGGACCTTCAGATAATGGGTGTTGTTTCGAACGCTTTGAGTGAGTAATGGTGGAGTGAGTGCCGGTTGTTTACGCGGACTAAGGGAAAAGTCGGCGTAAGGACATGCTCACGCGTTTGCACACCGCGTTAGGCCGAACCCCTCGCGGATGATCCGAGGACACGAACGTGCCTGAGAGAATGAGTCGCAAAGAGCTCGCCCTTCGGTCTCGACCGCGACCGGGCGATTCGAGAGGCTGGCAGAGCTGGTTCGCGACTCGAGTGCCTTCGTGATCCATTGACCTCTTTTCCTTAATCCTATGAACGTTATATTACTCTACACGAAATACTATACTCTATGCTCGCGATATGTACAGGGTGTTGCATCAACATACAACCAATTATGACGAGTTGCTTGCCCAAAAGGCTCGCGCATCCAGATATTAATTTCGAATTTATCGATATAGTCATATCTTTCCAACGAGGTTATAGCGTTCCTAATTATCATCCTAATTATCATAATAAAAAAAAAAGGTACGTGAGTAACTATATCGACAAATCCGAAAATGCCATCTGGACGTGCGCGCCTTGGAAAGGCAACCCGTCGTGTATATAATGCGTCATATGTGATGCAACACCCTATACAAAGCCCGTGGCGAACTCTTTGCCGACACGTGATAGGCTCCAGAAGCCTTCATAAGGCGGCGAACCGCCAAGTTTCCCTCCTGGCGGAGTGAAGCTACGCTCCTGATGACCTTACAGTCACTTCGTTGGCCTTTCTGGACCTGTTGGCGTACACACGGCGCCACCGGAGAGCAACTTTGCCCCGTGGGGCTAAGTTCTCTCTTAGACTGTGCTACAATCGCCCGTGTGGACGTCCCTTTACGTCCATTCCTCGTCGCCCTGAATCTAAGTCTCCCTTAGGGGACTTCGTGTCTATGCGCGTCTCGGCGATAGACGAAGTGTCGTTCGTCTACGCGCACGTCGGAACTCGCAGCGTACGGGGAGATGGCGTCTACCGTTCCCCGTAGACGATGTCCACTGTGAACAACTCCGAATTAATTGGCTATCCGACCCGATTTTAATCGTTTGCAGGGACGGCTCTACGCGTTAACCGACGCGAATTGCGTCACCTTATCGCAAGGGAGATACGTCGCAATAGAGCGACATAAAAGAAGCCGCCAGCGACGCCGCGTTGCGATACGTTTTCTTCATCGGCGTATTTATTCGCAGAATACTTCCGTCTCACACATACATGTTATTTCGTTGCTTAGGTTACTATATACTTTTGTGTCGTCTGTATTATATTCTTTTTTGTGTGTTTATCCTATTATTGTTAGTCGCGTCATATTATACTTATTACTTGTATGTACAGATTTATTTCGTATTTCCTACACGCGTTAATTGATATCAAGTCCATCACATTATTTTTTTTTATTTAGTTTTATTTTTTGTTCTTATAGTATGTATGAATCCGTATTTTTTGTTAATTTGGTTATCATTAGCCGCTTTGGTAATTTTCTTTGATATTACAAATAGATTTCATATTATCTGTTTAAAGAGTAAGTGTTTCCTTCATAGAGATATAAGAATAGAGGGAACAAGGGATATATTTCGACGGGGCCTGGATGATTAAACGTCGATGTTTTCACTTAGCTAGTGACATCCGGTCACAACGTCCCGTAATACAGTGGTCGGCGGAAGCATTTCCATCCTGCTGATATATATAATATATATGATATGATGTTATCGGATTATATATATATATATGGATATATGGATATATATATGGATATATATATATATATGATATGATGATATATATATAATGATATAACATACATGTTATTATACCAAAAAACGGCATGTTGATTGGCTACCGTGCTAATTTCCGCCGCGCGACAAGTATTGCCACGTTCTATGGGCAGAAGTCATAAGACCAATTTATGTAGGCCGTAACTTACTGGCGTTTTAGATTTGCTGACTCGACCCGACTCGGATAGCGTTTCGCTAATCGCTACAGTATTGCAAATTATGGTATATGTAATTTCAACTATAAGCGTCGGTCTACAATAGGTAATTTAAGCCTTAAGAAATTGATCAATTCTAGTTAATTATTATTAATTATTTTCTTTACATTTGACTATGATTGGTCTATTTCTTGAGGCTTAAAATACCTATTATGAACCGACACTTAAGCACGGAAAGAAAACACGGAACGTGACAACCAATCGGATTTAGCCGCATATCCCTAGCTTCCTGATAAGCGGGCTATTGATTGGCTATCATGCGTTGCTTGCATTATTCCCTAGCATCTCTCATTAGGTCTGTTCGTTTTCGCTGCACCGCTGAACTAGTGCAATAAGTTGAAGCGAGACAAGTATATGTTTTCTCACTTCAACTTATTTCACTAGTTCAGCGGTGCAGCGAAAACGAACAGACCTATTTTCACGGGCGATGATTGAAAAGATAAATTCCGTTTCCAAGCATAGGGCCTGGCGTCACTCGGCCGAACGACGAAAGAAGACGGCGAGAAGGCGAAATCTAAAACGGCGGCGTATCGACCGAGCATCAACGAGCTCGTTTCGGTGCGCCATTTACATTGTCACGAGCAGCAGGTACAACGATTGATCAACAATAATTGATACCTTACGCGTGACGGCTTCCCTCCGTGCTTTCCCCGCGGACTCTGCGCGTCGTGTTCCGCGTGACGATAACTCCGCTCATCCTCCCGTTGGCCATTTTGCTGTCCGTTGATAAATTCACGGCATTTTCGTACCGACCGGTGAGTATACCGCGCGCGAGAATGGTTACGTTGCGCAAAATGTCAAAATGTAATTTCGTGCGTTTCGACTAGCAGACGAAGTTCGTGAGTCGTGATGGAATCGGTCGAACGTACGCTCGACATCGCCAGTATTTTAACATGATGCGCGGAGAATCGCAGGTCAACATCTCGCGTTAGTTCGCTTCTGAGAGGTATCTGGCGCGTCTCTCTCTCTCTCTCTCTCGCGCGCGCGCGCCAATTGCAGTGGCGTGTATGGCAAATCGAAATGTCCCAGTACGTAATATCCATCAGATATTATGTAGGACGCACGCCGTCTCGTTTGCGCGTTATTCCGCACCGGTCAGCAGTTTGTGTATAATCGCGGCATCGTAAACGATAAACTCGTTAGTTTTTCTCGCGTCGTAATATCCTGTTCCTGATTGCAACGCTCGTTAACTGACTCATACTAGCGTTTTATTTAACTATATGTTTATATTTCAGGTATAAGGGTGTGCATGCTCTTTGAAGATGGATATACCTTCAGAGATATTAGAAACTCTGGATATTGTGGGTGGCAAGAATGTCATGGAAGTATTGAAAGATGGTGTTTCGGAGCAGGATATCATATTGGAGTCAGAAGTGACAGAGGATGTTGAAGAGACAGAAATAGAGGAAATCATAGAGATAATCGAAGAGATTGAAGAATGCGATGAAATTCCTGCAGATGATGATGTATCTTTGTCAAAGGATAAGACATCAAGTATGAAGAAGAATGGAATAGTTGTAAAGGAGATGAATGAAATACATAAGGAAGCAAATGACAAGAATACCGAGATCTATGGCTTTGATGAAGAGAATTCAATGTTTATTTCACCATCTGTAACAGAGGAGGTAATCAAGAACAACAGCACACAGAACAGCAGTAACAAGAAGCAAGTTATAAAATATGATGTAGATGAGGACTGGCAAGATGAAGATCTAGAGCGTATGGAGGAGTTGGATAATACTGAAATACAGGCACAGGTTATCTCCAAAAGTGATAAGAAACATGTAAATAATCAAAGCGTCACTATGTCGCTGCAATCAAACAGATTAGATATAAGGACTCATATGGATTCCATGGCAAAATCTGACAAGCTAAAAATGGATAGTGGCATTGGAAGTAATGTAAATAATATCGAAGACAATAGTAGCACTCACGAGATAGTGAAGAATGTAGAAAACAATTTGTTATACACTGTACTTGGGACAAAGAAACAAGATTCCTCTATGAAGCAACAGGAGAAGCTCAGTGATGCTCAGTATATCAAGGTTGGTATATTGATCACAAGATATTGGTAATGTTTTTATATCATTAACAATTATTTTAGATGGAACGACTTGACGAGAATACCATACCAGTTGAGGGTACTATCTATTATGAGGGAGATAACATGGAGACACTGTATGTAGCACAAGCTGTTGACGATAATGAGCAATATCAGTACGATAATGCTGCGATTGAACAGGATGAACAGATATGGGAAACTTCAAATAACGAATCCAATCAAAACCAAGAGGAGGATAATTCTCAAGTATAAAATCTATAATGAAGAAGCTAATTGTACCTCTGCAGATTTTATTAGCAAATATATTATTGATGTTTCATAATTTTAGGATCAGATATTTCTACATGAGGACGAAGACGGACAGCTGTACTTCAAAGACGACAACGGAGCTTTGCAACCGGTGTATTTGACTGACGACGGGAATTACGCGATCGCAGAAAATAACGACGATCAAGTGACCAGTAAAGAATTGCAATCGAAATCTGAGCAAAATAATAAAACGATAGAAGACGATTCTTTTATTTTGCCTGATTTAGATACAAAATCTTCCAATAAACAGGTATTATTACATATTAATAAGTTTAATATATCGAAGACTTGACGTAATACTCTAGTATGTTTGTGATCTTTTCAGATGTCTAATACTGCAATAGCAGCGTCGCCGCTGCTGGATATCGACAATGACGATACTGTAACTATCTCGTTGATAATATCAGAGGATGAGAATGGACAAAAGAGAACCCAAGTCATTATACCAACAACAGACAATTTAAAATGCGACATCTGTAATAAGAGCTTCAAAACGTCTTTCCAGTTACTTAGACACAATCGGCTGAAACATGCTCGTGAAGAAGATATAACTACAAGAAATTTTCCTTGCGATTTGTGTCCCAAGAGGTAATTTAAATTTGTTTTTCATCGCTGCTCTCGTTGATTTTATCATTCTAATTATTTCTTATTTTATCTCCAGTTTATACATTATTTCTTTGTTCATATTATTTATCAAATTGGCGTTTTTATTGCGTTGATTTTCTTCCCATTCTCTCTTTTATGCATAATTTGTTTATGTAATTTGTTTAGTTTTAACAATTTAGTTTTCCTCAGCGGGAATTCACTACTATTAAACGTGAAGATGCTTTAATAATCACATTCTATGAGTATATGATAAGATACATTAAGATTTTATATTTATTCAGATATCCCGATCAGACATCTCTAGCTCGCCATAGGAAAACTCATACCGGCGACCGACCTTTCCAATGCTTGGAATGCCACAAAAACTTTCCCACGTCCACAGCGCTACGTCGTCATTTGAATCTTCACAATTCGCAGCCTTCCGCAGCCGTTCTTCAGCAACGACCGCTTCCCTGCATCTATTGTGGCCGCCGATTCATGGAGAAGGCCAGTCTAACGAAACACGAAGAGTCGCACATGCCTAGCGAGCAACGCGTACACACATGTGATATATGTCAGAAGTCGTTCTCGCATGTGACTGATCTGAGTATGCACAAGAAGTATCATGATCCCGACAAGAAATTCGATTGTGAGGTGTGCGGCCGTGAGTTTAACCGTTTGAACAATCTGCAGAGACATATGATGGTTCATCAGCAAGTAAGTATAATCATTTTCAATTCGCTCGATGATACTTTCCTTTTTTCTTCGTGCATTCGCTTGCCTGTTTCACTTTGTTTCGCGTGGTTGTGCATAAATTATTTTTAGGCCTCATTAATAAAGTTTCTTTCTTTTACAACACAGCAACAAGGAGAAAACGAAGAAATACTCTCCTGCGATGTATGCGGAATCACATACAAGTTCATGAGTTCGCTGACGAGGCATATGGTAACCACGCACATGAACCCTGAGAAATTGCGACAGCAAGCGGAGGAGCAGCGACGAAAACGCGAAAATAATTACCGGAAGTATTTGGAGAACCGAAAGATGTATGAGACTCAGCATACCACATACAATACAAAACGGAACTATCATAACGCGCGTATACTCACCGGGAATAACGACGACACGGCCTGACTTATATTCTCGTGTAGTTTCTTTATGGTTTCATGAAAGCCATTACAATTGTTCCAGTGGAAGATCACCTCTGTGGAAAATAATACATGTATCTTGCGTGCGCGCTCAGCACACCTCTTTGTATTATTCATTGGCGTAACCGTACACAGATGTGCATTTAATTTAATGGACTTGTCGAAAGTATATTAGCTAAAGAGTATGTGTATATATATATATATATATACACATACACACATACACACACACACATAGGCGTTTCAAAAATACGATTACTTCTTAATTAGATTGACATTATGGAATATGTATGCCAATAGTATATATATATATACAAGTAAATACATACATAATATGTATATATGTATGTATACACATATATAATTACAAATTTCTTTATTTCTGCGTACACTGAAAATGCTAATTTAAAATAAAATAACACCATTTATATACAAGAAACGTTTCAAGCGTGCCTTAAACTACTTATTCGTTTATTTGCACAATATTTCAAGTGTTTTAAAGTATGCATATTTAATATCGAATTCCATGTCATACCAATAATTGATGGATATGCAGGCGTGGGACTGCGTTACATGATGAAACCATAGAGAGGGTAAATACAGCGCGTCTCCTGCATTCAGTGTGACTCTTAGAGTATGTGCATTACCATACTTTGGATATCTATAAACGAGATGAGATTAATTTATTTTGCGAGTTCTTGAACAAGAGTATTATCTGAGAAGCAGAATGTGGACTGAACTTTTCATAATCTGGCTTTAAGGGATCTATACATATCCATGGTGTCAATGTGGACAAATTTGCGACTTGTTCAAGTGTTTCGTTGACTGTCGATTCGATCGTCCATTTTCCAGGTTCATGTTCTTTATAAACAGCAGATGGATAATTTTTATACGGAATCCATGGCAAATCCGTGGGAGGATGTAAAATGAAGTTTTTTTTACCAGTCACGACACAATATATATTTTCATAAGGATCTTTGTGCACTGCAAAAATTAGTAACACAAATGGTTGGATACGTTTTATTGATCTTTAAAATTAATCACATAGATGCCTCTATTAAAATTATGTTTATAGTAATATTTATGTGTATACATCAATGATCCTTCTCAGATTGTATAAGTGTAAAATCCACGCGAAACAATGATCGTACGTATGATCTTTTAACATGATGAGATCTAAAAGAAACTAGGATAATCTCAATGTGTTGTCAAAATAAAAGTTTACTGGAAGTCACAGCTCTTTCATCTCCCATCCAGAAGTTTACGGCATCTGGTTGCTTTCCAAACGCTTCGTTAGCCCACAATATCTCGATTTCCGCGTCCGACCACAATTTGCGAAAGCTGCTTATAAAATTTGAATTCTGTTTCTGTATGTAAAATATACTGTCCTCCCGTGGATACTCTAATCCATCGAGAAACTTTGACATCGTCAGATTGCGTTCCTCGGGCATCACGAAAAATTCTTCCACCGCGTTGTCTGCCTTGACTATCGCGTCTGCATAGCCATTTGGTGTTACAGCGACCGAAATCTCCTCGTCGCCAAATGTCTCACGAAGATATGGTATGGACCATTTGCTTACAGCAGGCCAATATTTTACTGCTCCTCGTATCACTAATGGTATATTCTTCGAGACAAATTCTCGGTAGAAAATCAGCGGTGTAATTATGTGATTTATTTCTGCAATTTCTCTTTGCAAATATAATTCTATAAAGTAAAAAATTATACAGATTATAATAAAATTATATGAACGTGGGGAAATTATATAAACATACTATTAGTGTGACTATATACATCTTAGCTTTTTTGTAAATAAATCAACTGATGTCACAAAATAATTAAGATTAAAGTACGATTCCATTTTATATTCGTAACAAATATTTTTCGCATGAATCTATAATAATTATTTATATATATATTCAAAAGTTGCCTGACTTCAAGGGGTCATCACATAGTGTATACATTTTTTTTTAAGTGGAGGCGCTTCGCAGATTTCAAGGTCAACTTCGTTTTTTAAAATGGAATTATATTATTTGCGCTATCATTGGGAAGTATATTTATTTTGCGTTTAAATGTATTACCATTAATCGGACTAATAGATAACGAGATATTCAAGGAAACAAAGAATAACAAGAAATTGAAGATTTAACATCGTGGTTGAATGTAATAAGAATGAATAAGCCAGCGGTTAATCAATAATAACTACCCAACACAATGTTCAAAATCGAGATATAAGACGTCTTAAAAACATCTTAAAAACGACCTCGAAACGTCTAAAAGACGTCTCATGTCCCGATTTTGGACATTTGTGCTGTCTGGGTAATCTTATTTTAATTAATAATAATACAGTTATCATTTCCTTAAATTAGGTGCTCGAATTAATGTCCGTTAACATTAATACAATGATATAATCTATTGATTAATGACGAAATAAAATTCTGAATTGTTTCTGAACTAAGTCTATTGCACGTTTCGAGAATTCGATCTTTCATACTCTCTATCGTTATTGGTGGCTTACGAAACATTGTATCTTTCAATATATTCCACAATTCAACATATTCCATAATTCAATGGCGTTAGATCTAGTGAACGGGGTAGCCATACATCACCATACAATTCTCCACCACGACCTATCTATCGATTTGGAAATTGTTTATGCAATGCTTCTCTTGATTCTCGTATATAATGTGTAGGACATTCAATCAAGATATTAAATCTCCAACCTTTTGTTACTCTTTGTTTCCTCAAATATCTCATTATCTTTTAGGCCAATTAATGATAATTATATTTAAACGCAAAATTAAACATTCCATTTAAAAAAGTTGATCTTGAAATCTCCCAAATGTCTGCACTTATAAAAAAAAATGTATACACTATGTGATGACCTCCTCAAAGTCATACAACTTTTGTATATAACAATTTCGTATAACGTATAATTTATAAATTAGTCAAGTTAGGTGCCTCATCCTGTATATACATATATATGTATTTATACATTTATATTTATATATATATTTGTATATTCTGATGGTAATATTGTGTTAAAATATTCTCTCAATTGATTCCATCTCATTAATATAAGCAGGTTTCTATTTAATTCAATAAATTTCATGAGATCGAATATTTCAAAAATTCTTCTATCTCTTCTCAGATCTATAACTTATCACTTCTCAAATTTATAATTTTCATTATATTTTACAGCATTACATTGAATTTCATGATGAAAATTACGACTTATTTTGAAATATTTATTATTATATTATACATTTCAATAATTTTTCAGTAACTTTTATCTCATTGTTCATCAAGTTCATAGTATATCAATATTCGAATATAAGGAAAGTATACTGTTGAAATTTATTGAATTTAATTGAAAAACTGCATACATGGTTGGGATGATAATAAAATAAGGTTAATTGATGGGGAATTCAGGAGTTTTCAGCATATTTCCATCAGAATATATATATATATATATATAGTTTCTTAATATTTGTATATAATTGATTATTACTATTATTAATTTTATCTATATTCATATGACAATAATGTTTTTAACTTTTTTTCAGGAATAATTTTTAAGACCGTTTTCTGTTCCTTAGCAGAAATCTTAAATTGTGCAGAGCATTTTGCAATGTTGTCCAATGAGGTTAGTATACGTTGTAGAATTAAATAACAAACCTTTTGTCTCCTGCGATAAAACGTTAAACGCTTCTTGGATTTTGGCTTTAGCTTCTGTCATTCCTCAAATATAAATAAAAAAAAAATAAATTAGAAAGAAAAAAAATACAGTTGAATACTGATTGAAAAGTGTCTGTAATATAACTGAAGGTAGATGTTAGGTTAGGTTAAGTTGGGAAATGTAAATTCTTACATGTGTTTGTAATCGATGCTCACGACTCGTGAGCATCGATGATTATTCGTCACGTGCTATCGAAAATTTTATTACTGTTTGATTATCAGTAAGAGATAGACAAGAAAGATCTACGGGACGGATTTTAATATAAACGTGTAAGTTCACTCTCTAATAAATACAGAGTAACAGCAATAATATAGAAAAATTTATAAATTCAACTTTTTTTTAATTATACATCACTTCGAAACAAATAGAGCGTGAAGATTGAATAATACTTATTATATGAACACGTTATATTATAATATGCACAAGTTCTAATATAATCTATAATATGCATAAGTATGTGAATTCTCTTCATATTTTATTTACATACATGCATGTTAATTATTAAAGTATCATAAATTTTACATAAATAACATAAATTTCACATAGAAATAACAATCGACAATTTTATCTGTATAACATGTTATATAATTGAGTAATGAACAAAGAATGATTCGTATCATGCAATTTTCCTTACATAATCTTACAGTGGAAAATACATTGGGTCCTAGAAGCACTTTAATTAATTGGAATCAAAGTTATATAATATCAGAACTGTATATATATAATATTGATTTTTTGTACAAGATAATCTAGGTAAGGTAGAAGGCAAACAAATTTACACCTAGTAAGCAGAATGTCCAAAATTGGCGCATAAACTTTAAGATATCCTTAAAAGCTTTTTCAGAAACTTCTTTCTTAAAGACGTTTCTTAAAGAACTGAAAAATATTTTAAGGTTGTCTTATGTGTCATTTTTTGACATTCTGTTCACTGGATAGATATTTCTTATATGTAATATTTGATGATTGTTCCAAGTATGGAGAAGCATAACAGGTTACTGCAGATACATCTGGAGAGGCCTCTCTATGAACATGAAGCATTGAATCAAAATTATCGTTATGAGAAACCAAAATCATCCTGTAAGTTATAAGGAGAAACAATACATTGCTGCTTTAGTACTATTTGACACATACAAATTCTACAATGTGAATAATCTTTTTGCAGTAATACAAAGTACAGTAAACAACATCAGATCAAAAAATTGGCAGTTTTGTGTAACATCTGTTGTGCCAGCAATAAAATGGCTAAACTCATACAATTGGAAGGAAAACATACTACCTGACATAATCTCTGGTTTAACTGTGGGAATTATGCATATACCACAAGGCATGGCTTATGCACTTCTGGGAAATTTACCTCCAGTAGTCGGCATATATATGGCTTTCTTTCCTGTCTTGATATATTTTTTCTTTGGCACATCTAAGCATATATCCATAGGTGAGTATATATATACAATATGAAGTAATATGATGAGATGTACAATTTTTGAAAATATACTGAGAATAAATTAGAGGAAACACACTTATGTAAGATATTTCACAATCCATATTCTTCATCTTTATATTAATGATATAAGTTCCCTATAATTTTAGTAATTTAATATCAAGTTGCTTAGATCATTTACCATAAAAATTATAATTGTAAGTTATGGGATGCCAGGAATACTTTATAGTTTTTAACACGTAAGTGAATACATTATCTGGTGTAAACAATGTAAAGATAGTGAAATGCTACTTCCGTTACAGAATTATTAGAAATAATACACCTTAAATATGAACTTATTCGACAAGCTTGAACAATCAAACATTCTTGGCATCCATCAGGAACCTTTGCTGTGGTTTGCTTAATGACCGGCAAAGTAGTAACGTCTTATTCGACACCGCCTACGGAATACGTATCTGCAAATATCTCAAATGCAGCTTCTGGAAATCTCGAGGATGTCACGAATATGTACGCGCCAATGCAAGTAGCAACGGCGGTAACGTTGATGGTCGGGATATTCCAGGTTAGTATTGCGTATCACTTTTTAAAGCTTATAGGGAAAAAAAATCGAGAACAATAGAAAATGAAAATCTTTCTTACCCTTATAGATAATAATGTATACATTCCAATTAGGCATTGTGGCAACACTGCTTAGCGAAACTTTAGTGAATAGCTTTACGACTGGAGCTGCAGTTTATGTCTTAATATCTCAGATCAAAGATCTTCTTGGTCTTAAACTGCCGAAGAAGAAGGGGTATTTTCAGTTAATTTTTGTGAGTAAAGATTTTGTTTGCACTTTACAGTACCAGCATTATTATCTTATTGCTGAATTCTTCATTTCAGACTGTTATAGACATATTCAAAGAAGCGAAGGATGCAAATATAGCTGCTGTAATAGTATCAATCATATCAATTATTATCCTTGTTATCAATAATGAGTTTCTAAAGGTAAGCAACGTTGTAATTTAACGTTTGAAGTTATCACTTAATTTTCGCATTCCATTAGCCACGGATAAGTAAGAAATGTAGCATACCAATACCGATCGAGCTCATCGCAGTTGTCGGTGGAACATTAGTCTCGAGATATTGCAATTTATCAGAGCTTTACAATATTAAAATTGTCGGACCTATTCCTACAGGGTGTGTAACATTTTTTCAAGCTTAGACATCAGAAATTCAAAATTCACATCACATTTTTATGGTCTTTTGACAGACTTCCTAAATTAGAAGTGCCGAATATGGAATTATTGCCTCTGGTAGCAGTGGACAGTATCGCAATAACCGTAGTTTCGTACACTATCACTGTGTCAATGGCACTGATATTCGCGCAGAAGCTCAGCTATGAGATAAATACGAATCAAGAATTTCTTGCGATGGTGAGACATCAACTTCAGAAATATTTATCTCCCAACTTTCCAACTGAAGTTAACTGGTGAATTTCTATTGTTTCAGGGCGTCAGTAACGTGGTGGGCTCTTTTTTCTCGTGTATGCCGATTTCAGCCTCTCTAAGCAGATCGCTCATCCAACAAGCTGTCGGAGGACGTACGCAGATAGCAAGCGTCGTGTCCTGCTTATTATTACTTGTTATACTCCTGTGGATCGGGCCGTTCTTCGAACTTCTACCGAGATGCGTGCTGGCCTCCATAATAGTTGTGCGTATCGAATTAACAATGAAACCACCGGCGATCGTGAGAAAGCGTAAAACTTGCAAAACGATGGTTTTCTCCTTTTGCAGGTAGCATTGAAGGGAATGTTCATGCAAGCCAAGCAACTTGTGAAATTCTGGAAGCTGAACAAAACCGATGCCTTGATTTGGATAGTGACGTTCTTGGTAGTGACATTGGTTAACATCGATATCGGATTATTAGCCGGATTACTCGTTTCGCTCATTATTATTTTACTGCAAACTATTCGATCTTACACGTGTCTGCTGGGCCACATACCGCATACAGATCTATACCTGGACTTAGACAGATATAAAGCGGTAAGTTTTTAGCGATAAAAATACGTTGAATATACAGGATGTCCCAGCCTAAAGAGAACATAAATAAATATCTTTTTTCCTACGTTTTCAAAATAAAAATGTTTCAGACGAAAGTTGTAGCGCTTCGAGAGGGACACAATATTATAAACTTGAATTGCTCTTGGGTTGTACTTTTCGAGGTCATTTCAAAATCAACTTTATTTTTTTTAATGATATGTAATTTTTTTTTAACACAAATCGACTTGTGTTCGTTCTATATATAAAAATACTAGGGTAAAATCCTTGAGAAGTGAATACTTTTCGATATTTTACTTTTTATTCTGATACTTTTTAGCATAAAATCTGAAATATATCTCATAAAGTATCTACTTTTTTATAACATTACCTTAACACTTTTGTACGTAGAATGACAGATAGAAAATCGATCGCTGTAAGCAAACATAGGAAAACCTGAAAAAAATTCATTTTACAAGTACATGGTCCCAATGTGCATTAATTGATATCAGTAATAGATTTTTTTTCATATAGTAGAAAAAATATTAAAATGATGTTATTGAAAGGTGAATATACTTTGGTTGAATGTAATAAAATGAATAAGCCAGCGGTGTTTTCTAAGTAATGTTTACCATTGATCAATGAGAATGGCTTATGCTGATAAACATTACTTAGGAAACACCACTGGCGATAGAGCATTAACGTGTGGCATATTTGGCAAACAAATAATTAGACCATGCTTTATTGACAGATGATTAACGGAAAAAAAATACGCAACTTTAGTAACGGAGATCTTTCCAACGTTATTAGAGAATATGCCACTAAATATTCGTTTAGAAATGTTACCATGTACCAGCATGATGGTTGTCCTGCACATTACACACGAGAGTCAAGAGAAGCATTGCATAGACAATTTCCAAATCGATGGTTAGGTCGTGGTAGAGAATTTTTATGGCCACCCCGTTCAGCATGTTGTTTTGTCATTGAGCAATAGATTATATCATTGTATTAATGTTAATGGACATCAATTCGAGCACCCAACTTAAGGAAATGATAACTGTACCATTACTAATGAAAGTAAGATTAGTTATTGTTGATTAATCGGCTTATTTATCTTATTACGTTCAACAAAGATATTAAATCTCCAACTTTTTCTTACTTTTTGTTCCCTTAAATACCTTCTTATCTATTAGATTAATTGATGGTAATACATTTAAACGCAAAATTAAACATACTTCCCAACGATCGCACAAAAAATATAACATTCCATTCCAAAAAAACGAAGTTGACCTTGAAATTTCCCAAACGCCTCCATTTATAACAAAAATGTATACACTATGTGATAACCCCCTTGAAATCATGCAACTTTTGTATATAACAATTTCTCACACAACGTATAATTTATATGTTTTTTAAGGTAGTTAGGTGCCTTACCCTGTATATTAAAAAATATCAGAATAAAAAGTAAAATCTCGAAAAGTATTTACTTTTCCATGATTTTATTCTAATACTTTTATATGCAAAATGAATGAAGGAACCGATTTGTGTTAAAAAACTATATGATTTTATATAAGAAAGTGAAATTGATCTTAAAATGACCCTGAAAAACGCTATCTAATGATAATTCAAAGTCACGATATTATGTGCCCTTTGAAACCTTACAACTTTCGTCTGAAACATTTCTTTTGAAGGTATAGAAATAAAATATTTGGATGTTTTCCTTATTCTGGGACATCCTGTATATTCTAAACATTATTATCCTGTACATTCTAACATTTAAGTCCTAGCGTATCTTTAGTGTCGGTCCACAATAGATAAGTTAAGCCTTAAGAAATTGACCAATACAGCCGAATGTGAAAAGAATAATTAACTGTAATTAGTCAATTTCTTAAGGCTTAAAATACCTATTGTGGGCCGACACTTAAGAGGATACGACGTATATCTTTAAAGATAAAAATATTTTGATTGATCTGTCTACGTTGTTTAATAGAACGCTCTCTTTCGGAATTATCTAATAATGGTTAATTTAAAAAAAAATGTTTTTTCATTAATTTGGTAAATATTCATATTACCGGACTCGTTTCTGAAAAGCTTAACCTGATATATGTTGTTATCGCCCTGAGTAATATTCAAAAGATTTTAACCGTTTTGATCATTGTTTATTAAAAAATTATTAATAAAAAAGTTTCATAAATAGTCTGTATACTTTCGATATTGTGTACTTCTAAATATATACACTGTCGGAAATGTATGTTCTATTTATTAATTAAACTAAATACATATTTAGATATATATTTGCAATCAAAGCTTTGTGATATTAGAATTGTTGAACCTGTTCCTACAAATGAAGCTCCCAGATAAGAGCTTCCAGGGGGCCCCTGTCACTTCTTTTGTAGTAAGAAAAATTGCAACAGTTCGAAAATCCCAAGTCCCTCGGGGCAAGTTCACAACTGAAGCACCGACGAGAAAGCGAGACTCAAAGAGAGCTGGAATAATTTCAAAATTTAGATTCCAAATCTTGTATAGGGATCAGCATACTATATACTTTGCTAATATTCTCAAAAATTTTTATTTTAGTGTAAAATAGACTCATCAATTTAGTAAGGTGAAAGATTTAGGCGTCAATAACTAGAATAACCGGTATATTTCAAACTTGTTAGTGACTTCTGACTCTTGTGACTTTTTAACAAACGAATGAACGACGGCTAAGACAGCTAAGCCTTTTCGAAATTTTGAAAGTTGTGCCAGATTGTGCCGGAAGAATACAAAGACTTCCTAATGGCAAAATATCGTCAGATCGCTGTATTGCACAGCACAACCAGCTGAAGGAAGCGGCTTTTAGGAATTTCAAATTTTACATTGTATTAACTTTTGAACCGTATCAGATAATCAACTTCTGCAAATTGCGCTGAGTTTGAGAACAACAAAACGACGGCAAGAAATATTTCGAAAAACAACAGGGGTTGATGGAATATAGGTACACGCATGCACGCACGCACACACGCAAGAAATTTAAATTTGACCAGGCTACCTCCGCGTGGTACACATTTGGGTGATGCTAATCACCCTGCTGCGATATTGAAGCTTTGAAAATTCATAATTTTGATAGTTCTTGTCGAAAAAAGATTTGTATACTAGCTAAAGTTTTGAAAACGTCTTGACAACGTTTCTCAAGGTCATCCCAAGGTCAAATAAATATCAACATATGATAGTTTTTTTTAAATTCTACTACTTTACAAAATATCTAACACAAGATGTGCCAACCGTCACATACTTGTAGATTAGGTCTTTCATTTTACAAACAGTATACAAAATTTCGAATTGTTGAAAATGGCCATACAAGTTGTCTGAAATCAGATATATTTAGGATCAATTTTGATTTTCACCTTGATGATTTTTACCTTGACGACCAGCCATGTTCTGGCCGACTTTTTGACATGATAACATTCTGCGCAATTTAGTAGGAAATAATTCACAAATTTCAACAGAAGAGATTGATGAGAGACTCAACATTGAGATTGACCGCATTTCGGCATTTGAAAAAGATTGGGTACACTTTGAAACTTAATTTGTGTATATATGTTCTATTTTTCCTTTACTCAACTTCCTTCTTTTTTCCAGGCGGAAGAAATCCACGGGATCAAAATATTTCGCTACAGCGGCACTCTGAACTTCGCCAACAATAGCCACTTCAAATCTGTCGTGTACAAGCTAGTGGCCATATGTCCGCAAGAAGTGATCAAACGTAGAAAGAAGTTAGTAGAGGAAGGCCGTTTCTTGGACGACAAAAGCACCGATGACAGAAAAGAATTGCGGTGCATCATCATGGACATGAGTGCGTTGAGTTACATCGATCCCAGTAGCGTTCACGTGTTGCATGTGATTGTGGAAGAGTTCAAGCAGGTGAACATTGAGTTCTACTTCGTCAATTGTCTCAGTCCTGTTTTCGAAATGATAAAGAAGTGCGATACATACGTGTACGGCGCGATATCATTTAAGATTTTCGCTACCGTGCAAGACGCCGTCGTTCATTTCCAGAATGAGGTCGCCGCGAGATAACCAAGAATATCTGTTATCTATTATATCACGTGCAAGCCGTATTTTTGATATTCATGTTATGCGTACAATAGGTGGAAAGGAATGTATAGTTGTTGTATTTTGCGCTGTTGTTACTCCTCCTTATATCTCTATAAGATACTTATATTTTTTGATGTTGATAAGAGACGAGATATTTTCAATCGATGCCAAAAAGTTTTCGCAATATATTGCGAAAAATCGTAGCTTTATATTATCTAGAATGTGTCATACAATTTGCGATTTTAATTAACGATGACTTCTTTCATAAATTTAGAATCAATTTTTCGCAATTTCGTTTTTGACTTTAAGCGATCGCAAGAAAAAGTCGCTAATTGTTGCACGTTCTACATATATTTTAATATTTAGAGACTGTTTTGGAAACAAAGTGATACAAATGTACTTCACAATTTATGAACTTCTCTACGAATTAATACACATTATCATTATGTTGGTTGAGTAATAAGTAAATTTCTTTATATTAACTTTTAAGACTTCAGAGTGGTCGCTGCGGCCATATTGAATTCGTGACACTATAAGCGATAAATAACACGTTGAGAAACATTGCGTGCTATTTGCAAATAGATATTTGGATAAAACAACACTTGAGATCGCTTGAAGATATTTATGAAAATGGACGAAAACTCTCCCTTTCCCTCTTGACAGTCAATAAATAGTTGTAAAAGGCACATGAAATAAGGTCCTATTCATGTAAGAAAACACACACAGTTGTTGAAAGAAGTAGAAAATATGTTCCTACGCATAATATTTCATGCTAATCTTGATTTTCGTCCATTTTTACAGATTTAATAAATATATCATAAATCACACCTACACAATTAAGCAAATAATAGGGAAATGGCACGTAACACAAAATTTTGTTATTACCATGCTACTCTTCACGTATAAATGCGATCCAGAGAACACTACAAATGCTTCGAAGCGTTTCTCCTTCTTTTTTTTCCTTCATTTGGGCCCAAAAGATAGATGAAGAAGAAATGCTTCGAAGCATTTGTAGCGTCTGCTGAATGCATTCTATCAATTCATCCTTTTGTCGTTCTGAACTGTATCTCGCTAATGTCAACGCGGAGTTTTTTGCTGAATACTCTGGAGTCTTGAAAGGCTTTCTTAAGTTAATTTAGAGACTCCCAAGAACCTCGTATTAATCTTATACTAAATTAGATTCCAGTTAAATCAGTTACTTTTCATATATATTGTAGCTTATGACCTACTGAACAAAAGATACAATAGATTCAAAACTAAATAATGAGCAATAATTGGCCTACAGCCAGTCAAACACGAAAAACGGGATCTGCGAGTATTGTTTGAGAACATTGGAATATATCGAAAATTTCATAGGAAAATCGTAATTTTTATTGATCCCTCGAGAAATTTCATACATGCTTCATATGTGGATTCATATAATCGTCTATGACTCCTAATCTAATTATATATGATTATATAATATATATAATACTATTGAAGATACAAACTTACGACTAAAAGACAATATTTGATTATAGGATATTTAATCTTTATTCTTGGCATAACCCAGGACTAACGTTATGGACATGATAGAGAGTTTGTCCGCGTGCGTGTGTTATAGCAGAGAAAAGGATTTCATAGTTTATCATTCCCACATTATTTAATGATTCCAAATCCTCTCTGTCGTGTGTGTGTGTGTGCGCATGCGTGCGTGCGCGCGAGATCAATCCTTTACTACGTCCTTGTTGGTCCTAAGTTATGTCAAAAGCAGGGATATCGCACAAAACATCATATAAAGTTTTGTCTTATACATAAATTCATATCTTCGATTGTATTATACAGGATGGCCCACGTAAAGTATTACGACAGTGTATTAAATATTCGAACGGTTGACCATTCACATTTAAACACTTATTAATTCTTTTTACAAAATTTTGTCTAACTCTAAACAATATTTCTGAGGTCACGTTAGCGTAAACTTCACGTATTATTCCTTTTAAGTCTTCTTTCATCGCAGGTGAGACACGTGTACTACGTGTGTTTATGCCATACCTCATATTCTAAGTCTCATAACAGAAACAGACCTCTGAAAAAATTACCACTAAATGTGAGAAATATTTAAAGGTTTATAACTTTTCATAGAAACATTTTTCAAAAAAATGTTCCAGATAAAGTTTACTTATTTTTTCCCGTAGAATCCAAATATGTAACATTTTATAGAAGGTTTCATTTGAAGTTTACCCCTCTCTTCCCTTTAAAAGGGAGTAGAGGAGAATTTTAGTTTACATAATTGGAAAGATCCCTCGAATACATGAAACTTTCTCATAAACAACTTTTTGATATGGCAAATATTTTTAGAGTTTTTAGGTTGTAATACTTTACGTGAAGCCACCCTGCATATGATCGTGCATAATTATACATGAAATCATATATGATATGATCATATGTGAATTCACATGTAAAGTATATCTGGAATTTCTTCTGGAGTCAATAAAAATAATGGTTTTCTTATGAGATTTTCGATATACTCCAGTATTCTCAAACAATAATCGTAAAACTCGAATTTTTTATTTGACTGGCTGCAAGCCAATAACTGTCCATTATCTAACTTTTAACTTGTTACATCCTTTGTTCAGCAGATCATAAGTTACAATATATGTGAAAATCAGCTGATTTAATCGGGACTCAGTTTCACATAAAATTAGTGCGGGGTTCTTTCTTCATGATTCTAATATAATAAGTTTTCGGATTGGTATTCATTATTGCGTCAATATCACCATCTTTTAAACCAGGTCATCCAAAGCAAGACTCATCGAGATTGAAATATCCCGTTCTTAAATTTGTTTAACTATCGCTGATATTTTCTAACATTTGTAGCTTCACTGCCATATAATACCGTATAATACGCTGCCGTATATATAAATATTATTTGTTACCGTAATCATATTATCTTCTTCTCTAAATTCATATAACATTGCATGTGTCTTAAACGTCTTTCCGAAAAATTCATTCTGATTGATGCTAATAACTTAAACATAACCAAAAATATACAAACCAAAATAAAACTCATTAAATTATTGTATAATGAACTTTCATTCGGACAGATCGGTGTACTATATAGGGTGATTCATAAATGCATGTCCATATTGCAGGGAATGAACCTACATATTAAAATAAGTAAAAAAAACGTCATATAAACATATGTCCTACATATATATTTTAGTTTTCGAGTTATAGATGATTAAAGAAAATGTTTGAAACATAAGAAAGCAGGGTTTTTAACATGTTATCTCAGGAACCATTTGCTAAATGTTCTTCTTAAAATGTAATCTGCTTCTTAAAGGTCTTGTACACATTACAGATGATATGGATAAAGCTGCTGTTTCGCTATACTGGATTAAGAAACATTATGAACCGCAACTATTCTCTTTGTCGCTTATCGCTGGATATGCAGCAACTTCGTTCCTCTTCGATCCTCATAGGCACTCTTCGTGGTCGTGCTTACCACTTAAACGTACCATTTTCTCAAAGCCATCTATCAATGGAAGAAAACGATCCGTAATACTGTGTTGCGGAAAGTGTTATTGGTACAACCGACATGCTTCACGTTCATTTTTATTAGCACGTCCATATATCAAATGTATCGATGCTAATAACTTAAACATAACCAAATACATTTCAGCATAAGTATAAGTAATACATTATCATTTTGTCGCTTTTAGAATAGTAATGAATTCGCGAGAATAAGATGCTGACTACCTGAAATTCTGCTTGATTCGTATTGTTGGATATTGTTTGTAAACATTAGATAAGATCAAGATGTATTAAGGCGTACAGTGGCATGTGTTGACATCCGAGGCAGGCACTTGGAACATTTTCTTTAATCATCTATAAATTGAAAACTAAAGTATGTAGAATATATATTTGTGACTTTTTTATTTATTTTAGTGTTTTCATCCCCTGAAATATGGACATGCATTTATGAATCTTAGAGTCGGTCATATACGACTTATCATCCTTTAGATTAAGAATTTATACTATTTTCAACTTTACATCTATATACATAAGATCAAAATCATTCTAGCAAGAGCCATTATAATTAGAACTACTTATGCGGTTTTCTATCTTATGCATTTTTTTCCTTTTCGTTGAAGTTATAAGCGCAATTGGGCACGGTTGTAAGCTACTATTTATGATTTTGCATGATAATCAGTTGTGACAAGAGTCAAATGACAGTGTAAGGTATAAATATTTTATCGTACTTTTACTATATTTTTATTTGATATATGAAAATATTTATTTTCCCTGAATTTTCTGCTACACTTCTGCGATCAGATGTCTCTTATACTATTACTTCGACTTCTGTAATACCGCGTAAGTGTACTCATGAGTAGTGATTTGCAATCATAATCATTTGATGCATCTAATTTAATTGGAAAAACCATATGCAAATGAATATACTTTCAAAATAGTTTGGTTCCCATTGGGAACTAATCAAAAATAAGTTCTCTCATTGAGTTATCGGTTATATATTCCAGACTGCATCGGACAAAATATTCAGACTGTATTGTAAAATAAAATGTACAACTTGTATTGCAGTGCGAATAATAGGAAAAATGTTATTTACGACTCAACTCAATATCATCTATAATATAATAATGATTATATAAACATTGTTACATTATAGGTATTAATTGAGTTTACTTAAGTTCGATCGATTCGATCGCCACATTGTGATGTACTTACACTGTATAGTTATAAAAAAATGTTAATGTAAGGAGAGAGAGAGATATTAAGAATTACAACAAATAGCGTAATCGAGCAATCGATCTGTTTATTTACAGCGATTACCCTATGTACAAGGTAACAGATTATCCTAGATAACTGTCATCGCTGAATTAAGTTTTAGTTTTATTGTGTCTTTGAATTATAGATCCTGTAACATCTCTATACGCCTATTCGTAAGACACAATAGTTTCTTTTTTGTTTTCTAATTCTGCGGCAGTGTTGCCCTTCACTGATGGTGTGTATCATATATGTTGCGGAATAAATACTCAAAAAAAAAAAGAAGTTGCGGGACATCATTTAACGATGTGAACATGCGACATGGAGGTAATTAAAATTACTTTTTATACATTTCTTTTCTAATCGAGCGATAAAGATCTGATCGATGGAACAAACTCGACGAAGTAAGAGCCGCGTCGCATTTATGCCACGCCGTACTTCTTCTTGAGGGATTCGGGCATTTCTGGTGGTGGTGGACGAGGCATACGAAGCCAGACTTTCACGGCATCGTAAATGAACCATTGCGCCGCGGTTAGGGTACCGATCATAACGATCCTCGGTCCTAAACCCTTCCATACGCCAGCGAAGCCGAGCTTCTTCAGAACCTCGCCTGCCGACGAACCTTTTTCTTGATTCAACTTGGACACTACCTGCGCGAGAAGTTTGTGTGAAATAGCAATAAAATACAAGAACAAATATAATGGGATTGAAGAGAGAAAAAAGAGAAAATGAAACAATAAAGGCTTGTCAAAAGGAGAAAAAACAAAGCAAGAATGGAAATTACAAGAGAAAAAAGTACTAATTCGCAAAATAGTTCGAAAATTGATTACGTAAAGCATACTCGTTTGCAGAACGTTTGACCACTTTTTCAATGCATTTCAAAATATATCCGATAAATCTATTTTATGAAAAATTTTAATTTTATGAGAATACTTAAAAATATCTTTTCTCATTGGACATTGACTGCTTTCCGAAGTACGTAGAAGAAAACATGTCCAAATCATTCTGCAAACACGAGCGCGCATACAATGTATAAATTTCAAACAAAGAATTCGATCTAATGGTAGATGTATATAAGTGAACAAAAGCTTACAGAATCGGCGGGGTGAGACACGATGGCACAGAACACACCAGCGATATACCCGGCCGCGAAAGTGACCACCAATTGTTCGGCTTTACTGCATTCTTGCCTAGGTTTAGGTACTACATGTTTATACAGAAGCTCGACCGTGCGCTCGAAGCAGGCGAACTTCATCATCGTGTACGGAATTTGGCGCAACCAGAGCGGCACCAAACCTTTGTAGAATCCTGTTAAACCCTCATCTGCGTACATTTTTGGCAATGCCTCTCGCAGAGTGTTGGCATATCCTGGCATAGTTTGTATCCTGACCTATAACATAAATATATACCATTCAATCTAGAAAAATTTATATATTAACTTCCAAAAGAAATGATTTCTGTTTTTTTATTAATGATGTTATATATATATATATATAGAGATATTGCATACAACTTTTTCTTTTAATAAATATATTAAAAGTATGACAACTAGGTCCGGTTTTCCCTATAATTAGCAAAATGATCTTTTATGAACAGATAAGTAGAAAATGTGTGGAATAAAGTTGTTTTAAGAAAAGATTTTCTACTATTTTTCGGGAAAATAGAGTGAGTTTGTGTAATTGGGTAGATGTTTTAGAAATAAACTTCAATAACAAAGAATTCGTTACCTTGGCAGCTTCAAACGGTGCTAGACCGATATCCGCGAAGAATTCCGCGGAGGCCGACGATATCAAGTATAGAGTAGTTCTGTATTCGTAAGATAGCTCTTCGCCGGCTAACGCCGAGTAGTAAACTTTGAAAACTTCATAGAGCCCGAATTTGAACATTCCTTGAACGGAATAGCCAAAGAAAGTGGGTGCCCAGCCTCTTACCAATCCACGAGTGCCGTCTTCGGCGTGCGTGACCTAGAGTGAGGACCAACGATAAGTATACTCGACGAATAAACATTGAACGTAGGAGCATAAAGAATAATGGAGATAATTACACGAAATCCTTGGAACACCGATTTATATTTTTTGGAGTCCACTTGGATTCGACATTTAACTAAATCTAAGGGAGTGATCATGGTATGAGTGATACCGCATGACAAAATGCCTCCGAGACCGCATAGCAAGAAATAGTGATTAGATCCAAACTCGCAACTATCTGCAAATATACAAAATGATTGCTGTATAAAAATATATATATATCTCTTTTTTACTAAGAGACATTATAATTCAGCAAAAGCTATGCATTATGATAGCTGTGAAAAATTCTTTTACAGGAGAATGTCTTTTAGTAATTGAATATTTCGGAAAGAGAGCCTTGATACTTGTCTCTTTTCTCATTTTCTTAGAATAGCGTGACATTTCCGGCGGTCCTCAATAAGCAAAATGTTAGCCGGCAGATTAGCAGCAAATTTTATCAAAATGCTGTATAGCAGTGATACACTGGCAAAGGACATCCCCCTACTAATATATGCGTAACATGTCCATGTAGTCAAAGGAAGTTCTGTGAGGCTCAGGTTGACAGCGGCAGAGTCTCTCCACACAGAAGGGCAATCATTAAATGTCTAAAGTGTGATCACTGTCGCTGACTGTACTGAAACTTGTGAAGGAAGCTCACTTTTTCGTACTTTAAATATCGCTCAGCCGCTCGACTCACTTTCCGAAGTCATCTGAATTTCACAGAGCTTCGCTTGGCTACATAGATGTTATGCATGTCTTAGTGGAGAGATGTCTCTCACTAGTACATCACTGGTTTTCAGTAAATTTGCCTCCAATATTATTCGAGAATCTCAGTCATAAACAGCAGTTGTTTTATTTTCCAGAAAATCATGCGCCCACTCCTGGGTTAAAGATTGATCTAAAATTCGTATGAAACGATCTTAACACTTCAGGAAATTTAAGCGAATGGCACATAGAAAAATGTAAGCAGTGAAATTTAAACGGTAAGCAAATTAATTTTGAGAACGTAAAAGTATCAAATTGAAATCCCGACTAGCTAACTCGTTTATTGCTTAAGTCTCATTCTTAAGTGTTGCTGCTTGCTTGCATTTTCTCTGTGTATCACAGCTCCAAGTTCTTAAAAAGCGAAGATATAAATTTGTAATTGTACATTGATGTCTCAAAGGCATCATTCGATCAGTTGATTGATCCGTGTGCGCAAAGTACTTCTCCTTGGCATGAGTTCAAATTTCAAGTAGACTCTGTTGCCACATCTTGTTCTACTTGATCTAAAAAAAAAAAAAACATCTTGCGCGCACGCGACGACTTTGCTACTGCTGTTTCTCGGTCACGGTCGACATATATGGAGAAGTAAAGGCGTATACACAGTAAAAACCACAGACAACAGAGAATAATACAGACAATAGATGTCCACCCTATCAGAAACTATGTATCAATATATAACATTATTTCCGACAGAAGACTTAGAAATTTATTGTTACTTTTTGTTCCCGTTGCCCGTGGCTTTCATTGTGCATAGGCCTTAACGGCTCTAACAGGCAGTATTATTTTTACTTTAGCCTTATTCAAGGATGAATTGCCCGTATATCTACGACAAGATGGCCGCGCCTTATGCAATCTTATGGCGTGCATGTATCCATTCAAATCCGCGGATTAAGTCTGTGTCGCAAAACTTTGACATGACGAGACATCATCGGATAAATTGCATAATATTTAATGAATTTAGATTCGACAAAAATGTAAATCATTCACGATTGAATTCGTGTTCATTCGAAATTTGAGATGTGTCATCGCTGCGACACGTGACAAGCATATGATTATCTCTTTCTTTCTTCCAAAGTTACATAATTAATACATCATATTAATCATGTGACAAATCTCCTGTAACAAGAGATAAAAAAAAAACAAAACAAAATGTTTAGTAATCTACAAATATTAAATCTACCATCCTCGAGAATCACAGTTACGTCGCGAAAACATTTAACAAGCGATCGAGATTGAATCGAAACGTTGACAGTACTTTATGTCATGTTCAATCATATTTCGGGTTATGTAATACAATGGCGAAAAAGATGCAGATAAAGGTTGGCATGTCAATATATAAATGAGACTTGTTATATTAATACATAGGAGTGAACAGTTGCTGATATGAACAAACAAAAGCCTCTTTTACAACCGGGAAACTGCACGAGACTACGTATAACCTCTCGTGAGTTTGCGACGCCGGAAATCACTCGATCGCTCGTTTCACTCGCGGTCACAATTCCAATGAATTCACTATTCGCCAGCGCTATTCTGTTTGCAAGCCGCTTACTGACCACCTTCCTCGATGGAGGCGGCCGCGATGTTCCGGTGCGGTACGAGCGGTCGCACACTGCCGTCGTTCAAGCCTTGACATTTGGCGGTCGTGAAAGGCGACGCGAACGGATTCATTTTCATTGTCTCCTGCACCCAAGACAACATCCCGGCTACTCACAACACCTGAACAAGAGCTTTTGTAAATTAAACAATTCAACAATAGTGGACAAATGGTGATATCGACAGACGTTGAAATGTCAGAGGACGACGTTCTATACAGCACCTGCTGTGCCAGACGACTCTCACCACCGCCGAAACCAACGAAAGAGTGGCAGAGGATATCGCAGCGCTGCCTGCTAATGATACCGACACGGACCAACGTGTCATAGACCCGAAAAGGGTTCGTCAATATGAGGAGGATCTAAACGGTTTACCGATTGCTTGTGCGCATGCGTTAAGCCCGTATCAACTACAGATTGGGAATCGAGATTGAAATGAATTTGGCAAATCAGTGTAAATTTAACTAAATTCAAATTTCGTAAAATTTAGTACGGGCTTTGACGTATTTCACAGCCTACTAGTGTGTTCGATTTGGATGCAATGAACGCTCACGTTTATAATAATCTGTTCTTTTTAGCTGCACTGCTAAACTGATGTAATAAGTTAGAGTGAGATGAAATATACTTCTCTCATTCTAACCATGCAGGTGGGACTCGATTGACCACGTCTTTATTACACTGATTACACTGATTGGCCGACACTAGAAAAACACCAAGTTACCAGCCGGCTGTGGTTGGTGATGATCAATCGCAATGTGGTCAATCAAGATACACCCATTTCATTATTAACCCGTCAATTCCCAATGCACCCTCCAAGTGGCACAATATTTATAAACCATCGAAATAACACTGCTAACCTATAATATAGCTTTAAATGTTCAGTTTAGATACTAGTGACTCTAAAACAAGTTGTCAACACTGAATAAAAGCGAAAAAATAAATAAATAAATAAATAAATAAATAAATAAATTCTCAAAACCTATAAATTTGGTTTCCTTAGGTTCCAAAACATGAGATTTTCTAAGAGGAAACAGAAATTTGTGGTTTCAATTTATTTGGGAACTGACGAGTTAAAGCTGTGTTCCACAATTCACTATCAACGCCGTTGAACTGTATAACAAACTGGAATAAACACTGCCTTTGTTTCTGCCAGATGACCCCGTGCCGAGAGAAGCAGTATCTAAGTAGTATCCTTGTCTTTGTCTTATCTTAAGCGAGCGGCATACAATGCTTGTATTGTGTTGGATTGCTTGCTGGATAGAAATACTGCGTTCTGATTGGTGCATTTCCAAAAATGAATAATAATACACCAATCAAACGCAAAATTTCCATCTAGCAAGCAATCCAGCATGAAAACAAGCATCGCGTGCCGCTGGCTTTAGCCTATATGGACTATATAGCATGTTAGTAAAACAGAGAGCGAGATACTACATAGACATGGCCTTTCTCTTAGAGGCCTATTTACGGACCACGCTCCCAGGGATCCTTCTAGTATGTTATGTAGGTTCGGGTGGTATGCTATCTGCGCTAACGCGTAATTTTATCTTTATCCCTCATTAAATATACGACAAAGACAGATTGATTAGTTAGCATTGATCGGCGCGAATTCTCGAACACACTCATAGTTCAATAGTCAGCGCTGAAAATCTATAATTCGTGTTACATATACCCATTGACATAAATAACCTTTCAGTATATAGATATGGAGAAGGAATGCTAAAGCCGAAAATGTGTCTAAAGTATGTACGAGAGAGAAATGTATAAGAGTGATATTCGTTCTATCATGCATCACAAAGTGACGTTAAAGGTTAGAAACAACTTTATCACATTATGAGCGTTTGACATAACTCGAAAACTATTTATTGTAACGAATTGAAAAAAAATATATACATATACTTGAAAACAACCCTGATGTTTTATTACTAATAATTTAGTCTAAACTAATAATCCAGTCACCTGCATTATCAATAATTACCTATTGCTAATTTTTGGTATATTTTTAAGTAGAGATCTCCAAATCAATTGAATTTATTGAACTAGCTGCTTGACTTTCCAAATCTTCTTTCCACAAAGTTTAAGCTTTATGAATGTCCAAACGTTTTCAATGGGTTTTGTATCCGGTGACCGTGTTAGCCAATTCAGTACATGGACGACATTTTCTTGTTTCTACGCAACACGTTTCCGATATTTTAGGTCAATATCCTTTTGTAATAGCCAATATTCCTTTTTATTTTTAAACTACTTTCAGGCAGATAGTAATAAAGGTCTCTCATAAATTTTTATTATTTTGGCGGCGTTCAAATTGTCTGTAAAATATAAAATGCCAAATCCGTGCTTTAAGAAGCAAACATGTATCTTTATCGGATGTTTAACAATCCGCTGGTCTATTGACGTTGGTACACCAAGTATGAGTATAGAAAATATCTATGTGCCCAAAAGAGTTTAATCAGAAAAAATTACATTATTCCAACCACGTGGTCCAAATTTTCTTACGCCCGAGCAATTCTTTTTTCGATATGTTTTTGAGACAGTAGAGGTTTCTTAATTGTGCTTCGATATTTTGCATCATGAGGACGTAGACATTTTCTTACTGTGATGATATATTTATACCTTTTCAATGTAATGCCGCTCGTCTGCTACGCAAAGATAGATGAGGATTATTCGTAAACATCCATAATATTAGTTTGTCCGTCGTTTTCTACGTAGAACATGTTCCGGCAGGTCATCGACGATTTTTATCTCTAAATAGCGTTTCACCAATTTATTCACATATGCCTTAAACTTTCTCATACACTTAACAGCCGTTTCGCGCGACATTTTCGGTTTTTTCGGATGTACGAAAAACACGGATCGCAATGCGGCATTATAACGAAAAATGTCCTGTCGGAAAGAGATTTGTAAGATCGAACGATAACTGAGGCTTTCTTTTCAAAACATTTTAGGAAAGGCTTTTTCTATTTACTACCGTTGGGATTTCCTAGCTAACGGTTTACAGGTAAAAGTTTTGCCAGACACACTCTTATCAAACAGACTGTGTAAATGAAGTTGTTCTGATAATTGTAATAAAAACTCCAACAGATAACATATTTATATATAGGTGATTTCATATTCTTTTTTATAATATAAAAAACTCATTTTCTATATACATATGGTTTAGAACTTTTTTTTATTATAATCACAAAAACATGAAAGAAACGAAGCTCTATTAACATTGAGGTATCTATATGCAAGTTTTTGGAGATACATGAACTGGTACTGTATACGTTAACTAATTCCAATATAATATCAATAAAACTATAATAACAAATTAATCAATATAATTAATATAAAGAAAATAACGGGAATGCGTTAGTTACCCTTTAGTTTTGTAGTCTTTCAAAAGGATTTCATAATAATTAATAGCGAGTTAGGGTTGATTTCAATCCGCAACAGTATTAACTGACAGCTTGAACATACATATAAACCTCTGCATTATAACTTATATGACTATTGATAATATAACAGCTATTCTCTGTCTATATAGATTGTTTGTACATAGATCATCTTTATTCTTTCTTCTTGATTTTCAAATCTTTGTCTTTCAAGCTTCCGCGTGTTACGCCCCAGAAAGCTCTTGGCCTTAAATCACTATTCGTCGCGGTGAACTTCCAACCAACGTGACGACGGCAACGTTTGCAAACTGCTACCGTCCAGGCGTATCTGAACATCAGATAATGTAGATGTCATTATCAAAACGAGATACGTATCCTACCATTAAAAAAAAATATATATATGCCTGATAAAGTCTCACCCTGGGAACCAACTATATTCGGTCGAAGGTGAAGAGCCGCTAAGCGTTACTCCTTGAACATGATAAAAGGTTATAGTTTCATGTATAACACCTTCGGGATTGACATAAGTACCCTGCGGGCCTTCCTTGTTCATTGGGAACATGTGTGACTGCCTACCGATGAAAGTCTCGCATTGAATGCACACGTAGATCTTATCCTACGTAAATAAGAGACTTACATCAGAGGTGACGTATTAATAAAATATACAAAGTTAAAATATAATCGCATTAATTTAAATATATAAAGTGCTGAAAGCATAAATGTGAACAATCTTGATAAATTATAAACAGGATCCGCTAAATTATTGTTTTGTCATTAATAACTACTAAAATTATTGGTAGAGACATTATTTGAAATACCAACAGACCATCTATACTTTTACCTTCAAATTAAAGCCTGTCTTACAAACTATAGCGATAACAGGAACTTATTTTTGAACGAATTGTTGCATGTCAGCTATGTAGATGTTGAGTCGCACAAATAAACGATAATAACATAGATTTTGCATTATATTGCATGCTCATATTTAACTTCTGACTCTTTTCTGATACTGTTACTACAACGCGCGTGTATCGATTTTAATATATAACAAATATACATTTTGTAAACGATAAAACTAGGAAACAATATAAATGTTATATCACTCTTTAAAAGGTTGGTATTCATAATATATCAAAGACGAATTTATAAGAGATTTTTGGCACTTAATTCTTTTAATTCCTTTTGTGCTATTATACATGAATTTTCATATCCGTTTTATTGCGATAAAAAAATATTATTTATTCTCGTAATAATAAATATTACTCTCTTAATTCTCGTACCTTAATACTACCGAATGTACGCTAGTACTTACATACCGGTGCATTGATTGAAAATTATTAAGTGCTAATTGAATTAAACCCATCGCGAATTTTATACATACCTCTATGAGATATTTTAACTCTCGTTGCAAACGACTAATAGCACAATCATAACGTAGTAATTCAAGTCTTTCGTCGTGATCTATCAGGATATTCTCTGCGACCCAGAAGGACAAACCGACAGGATCTTTAGGTACGTTACCTCCCCCTATAATGCAAAATTCAGATTTATTGCAAATTATAAATTAACTTCGAATATGTGCACATGAAAATAGTTTTCTGTTGCAATCATAACTCACTAATTTCAAGAAATTGCAGATGTTGACGGATTTTCATGGAAAGTCTCGTAGAGTCATATTGCCTGTAAACCCAAGCTGGCCAAGGAGTTATCATTGCCTCGAGATTTTCTATTCTTTCCTGCTTTTTTACGTTTTCCTCCGGATCAGAATGAATTCTTAAATGATCTAATGAAGTCAAACGTTGGTCCAAGAATGGTGGCCCAAGTGTTATCTCTGGCAACACTTTAACATTGGCCGAAATTTTATGATGTTCCTAAACAATATCAAATTCTTCCAAGTGAAATTGATAAGTATAATGCAATATAGTTATCGATGTACTAATGTTTGATATTAACCCTTATCGGTTGTAAGTCACCTCTCACATGACAACATCGTCGCTGCGGTCGTACGTCACGTAGGAGGTGACAAGTTCGCATATTTACCGAAACCAGTTACAACCTAGTGAGAATCACGCATAAAAAGCTAGCGTCCGATAAGGGTTAAAGATCTATAATAATGTTTCTTCATTTCCAATAATCTTGCAAAAAAAAAAAAAATATATATATATATCAAAAGTTATTAATTGTAACTTTAATTATTCCGATAATTGGTATGATATATACAACAATTTATTGATATAAGAAGAAAACTGACCGGTGTAACAATACGTAATATTTTGAACCGTTGTCTGCCTTTGGCTTTCAGATGAAAACCATTTCTCCCAGATCCCTCCCTATACTCGTATATCTCAGCAGTTGTTCCTATTTGGTGTATGATAGGATTACCATAACATACACAACCGAAAGTACGGTCATTCTTTATACAGTTTTTTAGAATGTTGATAATCTGCAGATTGAAGATTGTCATGGGCAATGTTTGTCCAGGGAATAGCACAGTTTGCTTTATCAACAGTGGTAAATTCATATAAATTCCATCATCCAGTATTGTTCTCCCTCTTAATTCCTCCAAATTTGGTCCTAAATACTGTAGAATGTACGCTTATAGTTGTCTTACAAAAGATCGCGCACTTTTTATGTTATAGAGATCTAATAGCAAATTCAATCACCCGCATTACTCCAGATTGGTGCATATTGAAGACTATTATGAAGCAGATATTAAAATAAAAAATCATATGAGCACTTGGAATGTTTTCATCTAATAATGATATTGTTCTGTTATTTAACAGAATATACAGGGTGTCCCAAACTGTTCTTGGTTTCCGTGATATGCAGGTAGAACGAGTAAAATTGAGCAGGAAAGTCATGTACCATTTTGCAAAATTTACCATAGTTAGTGAGGAATTATTTTATCTGAGCTAATGAACGCACGGTAGTTTAGACTTTATATAAAGAACAATGGTTTATTTTTGAAGATGTCCTAGCAACGATAAGTATCAACTGATAGCAAGAGGTGTATTTCTTTTCGGCGCACAATGCCGTTTGCTGCGTTATTCCGTCTTTAGAAATCAGTTGATGCTCATGATTACTGGAAGATTTTTAGAACTATGCCATTTTTCTTTATATAGAATCTAGCCTAATGCTTCCTGTGCAATGATCAGCTCAGGCAAAATAATTAATTCTTCAATTGGTGAATAATTAGTATCGCGAATTTTGTAAAATGGTACATGACGTTTTTGCTCAGTTTCACCCGTTCTATCTGCATACCATGGCAGCCGAGTTTGGGATATCCTGTATATTAATTATTTCATCATCAAAGCATTTGTTATGCCATTATATTTGGATATCTTGGTCTATATTCCGAACTTTCTCCTATCAATAAGTCTTTTAAATGTGGCTTCTTAGCCAATTAGGTCACTTTTAGGAGCACTTTTATCGATGGAAAAGAATTCATAGGTATTTATATATAGCAATTTTTAATGCTGTACTAACCTAGCATAATACAAGTGATTAAATTCGCTATTAATCAAACCTTGTGTATTTCTTAAACTGTAAACAAATGCATACTTACAGAATGGGTTGCTGGTAATGTCACATCAAACGTATTGTTTATAGGCACTGGTATTTCATCCAGATTGAACGAATCTGAGCTATCATCGGACATGTCTGCAATTGTATATTGCATATTTGACAATCTGTTTATGTTCATTTTGATATTATGTGAGTTGGAAAGAGAAATCCGTAAAAGTGTAAGGCTAATAACACGTAGAAAAAGCATATGTAGTAAGACATAAGCAGCAAGCAAATTGATCAATCAACCTTTCTTCTGGTAATTTAAGACTAATTGACTATAAGACTAATTGACTTTGTAGTTGGTCAATTTTCTTACTGCTTAAGTCTTACTGCTTAAGTTTTTCTACATGCTCCTGACCTAAGTCTTGTTAGAGGAAAATATACCTAAGTCGTCTGTAGTTCCTTTTAACCAACTTTGAAAATCTGTGGTTAAATGAGCCTGAAGCTCTGCAAAACCATTTAACTTCAAGAATCAAGAGGTCAATTTAGCAGTCCCGTGTCCCGGTTGCACTAATAACACTTGTGAACGAATTCTTTAACTCGACTTAACTTCACATTTTCCTCTTTCCATCATAGAATTCCTTCTCACGTTCCAATTGGAAACAATAGACATAGACAAGAGTTGTTTGACTGTCGTCCAGTGTCTTTATTCATTATAATTTGTTTAGATTGGCAAACGTATATTATATTATGCAGGGAGCTCCAGAAACCAGGGACTGGATTTTGGGTATTCACACTGTTCCGTGTTAAAATGGGAGAAAACATGTTATTTGTTAGCAGATGCTTTTTTCCTAAGCTATAAATGTTATTTGTCTGGTATAAAGTTTTTAAGACAACAGAAGATATACAATTTAGAGGGAAAGCATTCCCGTATGACCTTACTATATTCTCAAAAGAAGTTAACGTTCCCAGCTATTTATTTCTGGGACACTACTGTATATCTTGTATAACCTTACATTGTGTACGTATATGTCCCATGTTACCAAGTGATCCCGAATCAATTGGAATATGTACCTCTTATACGGCGACTGGCGCTGTCACTTTCTTCGCTATCATATTCCATCTCTTCATCGATAAAGTAATTAATGTTAAACATCACCACTCATACATCTATCGTATATTATGGTATATACATCAAATATGTATCCGTTTATAAGCAAACTATCCTTTCTTGACGTCGTGTCAGGTATGTGAGAAAGAAAGAAACGAGGAGGAGAGATGCATTTGTTGCGTGCTAGAAAAAACGACACGAGAAGCGACGAGTCACGCAAAACGACTGCTCGGTCAATCTATGAATCCACTACGTCGCGAATATTTTTCACCGAACCTTCGTCGAATCAATCCGTTGCTCTGATAAGTTGTCAGCTACACACATACACACTCTCTCTCTCTCTCTCTTTCTCTTTCTCTATAATGGTTCCAGGAGTCTCGTAAAGGAGGATTCCCAACACTAATATCCAATTGTATGATGTATCAACGAGATATTGCCGAAAGAATATAACTTGGTCAAAAATAAATGGTTTGACAACAAATTGAAGTCTCAGGAAAATGCGCGCACTTCTGAACTAGCGAATCAAGACTTGTCAGCTACGTTGTTGCGAAACAATTTGCAATCGCTGATGAATATAGAACCTCTTGACACTTATCGATCGACTCAGGAACTTCCGCTTTTAATCGAAAGTGCCATCTGCGTGGCTCGAGCAGTTTTGAATTTTGGCAAGAATTTGAGATGTAAACCAATCACATTCTCGAATCACTAATCGCTTGCTCTGTTCTGCTGAATGCAGTTGAATGTAAATCTTCCTTGAAGAAAGAATGCTACTGCGCATGCGTAAAGCATAGTCTACAATGGGTAGTAGGAATATGTTCATAAGAAATAAGAATAAGAAATTGACCAATCATGTTCGAATATAAAGTGAATAATCGACTATAATTGGTTAATTTCTTAATCTTCCTCCATATAAACATACTTCTACTGCCTCTTGTAGACCACGTTTAATATTTCTCTATGAACAGACCAAAAATTACTTTTAGAGCTTATGTTGTGACCGGATGTCACTGAACGAGTAGATAAAGTCGACATTAAATCGTCCGAATCGCACAGACCGTCCAAGGGTCTTCCCGCTGCCAATACACGGTCGCCAGGGTGTTTTTGGAGATTCGCCCAAACTCTAGGTCTAGAAAACTGGACCGGCCAAGTCTCTCCGGATATGCCTTATAGTAATGTATGCGCGGCGGGATTTCCCTCCTAGCAGCGCTGTCGCCTCCGAAGAGATGATCGAGTAGCTCTGTGTGTGTGTGTGTGTGTGTGCGCGTGTACATGTGTAATAGAAAATAACCATACAATGTGGAAACTAGCACTTACGCAGGATATCCTGCATCCAGTAAGAGACAATATTTTTCTTTATAAACGTATTTATACATTAGTTGTATTTATATATTATTATATTTAATTGTGTGAATTTTCATATTTATAGAAAGTTTCAGGGTAATATAATAGAAAAACAAAAAAACTGCCGCTTCGCTTTTTGCCACGCGGTAAGCATTTCCGCGTCCTATGAGCAGAAACCATAAGCCTTAAGAAATTACTGTCAAATGAGGAAAATAATCGATTATTAAGCCGGTGGCACACGGTACTTGTTTTCGTGCCGGATTGTTGGCTGGATAGAAATATTGCATTCTGATTGGTGTATTTTCATCTATTTTTGGAAATGCGCCAATCAGAACGCAATAGTTTTATCCAGCGTGCGATTTAACAAGAAAACAAGCACCGTGTGCCGCTTTAACTGCATGCCTTGCACTCGTCAGTTCTAGCTTGCACTGGTTCAGTTCAGTTCAGTTCCCGTGCAGTCCGAGTCCAGCTATAAAGAAACAAACCTACTGTATACTACCTGGGATTAGTGATATTCAATGAACGTACAGCTTATCCGTAAAAGCAGTATGTTTATTGGATATCACTTAATCTGTTCTTTTTAGCTGCTCCGCTGAACTAGTTTTATTAGTTGAAGCGAGACAAGTATATGTTTTCTCACTTTAACTTATTGCACCAGTTCAGCAGTTCAGTTAAAAAGAACAGGCTAACTGTTAAGTATACAAATAGTTACGAGTGATTCAAGAATCTAGCCTCTTAAATAGTTCAACAATTCAGTTATAAGGAACAAACTTGTGTAGCCAATATTGAGAAAAAAAGAGAGAGAGAATTTAGAGAGAGTTATCTTACAAGCCGGTCGAGAAATGATTTCTCCTGCTATATTGGGGAGAATTTCGACGTTTGTCGCAGGCAAATTTTATAAATCGTGTTTTCGGACAATTAGTAAAAGTTCCACCGTGAGTTCCACAGAGAGCAACGTAATGTTTGAAGATGATATGGTGCGTCGAAATCATAGATTGAAAAACATCACAGACATCTGTATAATACATTAGACTACGCACTCCTATTGTTCTCTTTGTGTAAAAGCATTGTTATATAAAACCAGTGCGCAAAATAAGGACTGGAGAGTACTAGAAAATAAAATTTTCTAATTTTCTAAAGAATTTCTAAAAAATTGAAACTTGAAGAAGAACAGAATCTGATATGTTCCTAACCTCTATTTATGATTGGTTATTCAAAAATATCTTTTGTAGATCAATGTTCAATTACATGATAATATATAAAATGGCGCATTATATATATATATATATACGCATTAAACACATGCATATTATGAATACAAAATTTTGGTTAATAGTTAAAGAGACACAGTTCTCCGTTTAATATATTGTATAAGTGTCTGTAGTTGAAAATTCGTTTTTCATGTTTATTTTGTGTGTGTTTTGCTTGTGAACAAAAATATTCCTATTCAAAACTTATTTATATGTCATTATTAATATTCTAATTATTGAATATTGAGAATCATTCTTAATTTACGAGTATATGCAAGCAGCATATATACTGTNATAAACAGTAACTTCTTTCTAATTTAATTAAGTTAAATAAGTAAAAATTAATTAAATTACTTTATTTTCATTAATATATGTAAACAACATCATATCAAGTTAGTATAATACTTATCAGAAAATATGTCAATTTAATACATTGTTATTTATATACTAATAACAAAATATAGAAAAAGTAGAAAATATGCTTGTTTACACCAACACTTTGATATATTTAAAAAATAACAATTAATATACCTTAATTTCTATAATACTATCTATTCTACTTCTATAGTACAAATAACATATCATACCAATACATTATGATATGTATCAAGAAAACTTATCATATCAATTTAATAGAACATCATTAACACATATCTCTGAAATTTTGAAATAAAGATAATTTTATATAAAATTACTAGTAGATAAATAATTGGTGTAAATTGGTGTAAGGTCGTATATTAGTGATTTGTATCTTTGCAGCCCATAAAATTGAAAAATCCTTATGTTAGAGAGAAACGTCAATGTATTTTATGCAGATTCAATGTTGAGCCAGATTACAAGAATGTGCGATTGCTTTCTCAGTTTCAAAGTCGCTACACAGGCAAGACATATGAAAAACATATCACTGGATTATGCGAGTACAAGCAGAAACGAGTAGAGGAAGAGATAATTAAGGCTCAAAATGCAGGTAAATTTATGTCATGTAATTTCAGAGTTGGGAGAAATAACATGTTAATATTATAAGTTACTTTTTTTAAGTAATGACTTCATAATATTTTTGTTTTATTAGTAAAAGTAACATATTTTTTAACATTAATGACAGTGATAATTACTTTGTATATGTATATGGCATCGATAGCAACGAATTCTAAAAAAATAGTCTTCAAAATTTGTTAAAGAAATGGTACTTTCCAACAATGTACACAGGTGACATTGTGTAACACGATACAATGCTTTCCACCTATGACACAAGTCGATACAATTGCATACAGCTAAAATGCTGTGGTCGATTGTATTGTCTATCATTCTATGATTACCACCATTTTTACATTTATTTTCCTACACAGTGGCATTCTAGTAGGAGGTAAACTTTTAAGATTGTATTTGAAACATAGGTAACAAAAGGTAATAAAATATCCTTCTAAACTATGGAAGATATTTAGTATACGATGGTAGTCTGAAAAATTTTGGGCGTTACTCATGGCGTTACTCGTCAAAACCATTCTGGTGAAAAAAATGGAAAAAATCGGATTAAATTTAGCTGCCTATCTTTTCATGGTGACAAATGATGTGGTAGAGTAAACGTCCCCGTAAACAGCGTAAACAACTCTGCTATAATGTGTTTCAAATGCAATAATTTAATTACGGCACGATATTCGATATTTTTTATTTTTACAAAAACACTGACATTGGCTGACACAAACGACTGTCAGACAACAACTGAGTCCAAAATGGCTGAAATTTTCACAGGTATCTTTCAAAGCATGTACGATTATAGAACCAGAATAGTTTTGACGAGTAACGCTATCTTCATGTTGAGATTCAAAACTCAGATTACCCTCCTATACTGAATTGGAACAAAAATTCATAGCATTTTTCAATTGGTGGCATTTGAACACGTTAATACGTTACACATGTGACTGAAATATATGACATATATACATATTCTGAAAGATTACATTTCAACGCGTCTTTCTCTGCAATTTGTGTGTGCGTGTGGATTTCTGAATTTTAAGTCTGTTTACGTTAAAAGTGAAAATGGAGAAAAATAAGGTGCATTTTCGTCATTTGATGCTCTTTTATTTCCGGAAAGGAAAAAAACGCTATACAAATAGCAAAAAAGTTATGTGTCGTTTATGGAGATGATGCCGTAGCTGAGAGTACTGTTCGTAAGTGGTTCACTCGGTTCGGAGCAATTTTGATTTGGAAGAACCGAAAACGTTTCTGCAATCGTTGGTGATGACTAAATCGTAATGCTAATTGAAAATAAATCACGTTATGCGACACGGGATATCACAGAAATACCACATATTTCACATGAGCATTGTAATGGCTCCTGCATATAGAACGCGGAAACGCTTACCACCGCGCTGGAAGAAACGACGCGGTAACCATTCGTTTTTCCACGAGAACTAAAAGTTTATTGGCTGCTGCGTTGCTTCTTGCCGCGCAGCAAGCATTTCCGCATTCTGTGCGCAGAAGGCATAAGGCAATTAGAGACACTCGGATACGTGAATAACAACGATATTTGGGTGCCTCACAATTTAACGAAAAAAATGTAATGGGCCGCATTTCTATCCACGATTCTCTGCTCAAATGTAACGAAAACGACCCATTTTTGAAACGAGCGATCACGGGCGATGGATCGTTTATGATCAATAATGTGAGGCGAAAAAGGTCCCGAGGAAAACGAAATGAGCCACCATTCCAAAAGCTGGTTTGCATCCGAAAAAGGTGATGCTGCTGATCTGGTGGGATTGGAAGGGTTCGAAGGGAGTATTATAATCTTCTGCACAATTCAACTAAGTACCTAGTATACGATTCTGCACAATTCAACTAAGTACTTATTATTCCCAATTGGTTCAAATTGAAGGCAGCAATCGATAAAAAATGTCCGATCTTCATTTTCTGACCGCTGGTGTCTAAAAAGACCCTATGTGACTATTCCCGGATTAATTTTGTTAATAAGTTAAATTGTAAACACGTCAACATACGCCAGATTCATCACATGCATATACGGGAAATTTAGGCTACATTTGGGGAACACGCTATGCGTTATTTTATCTTTGTCCCTCATTAGATATTACGACGAGGATAGAATGACTCGTGAGCATTAATCAGTGTTGATTAGTGTTAATCAGCGCGCTCCCCGAATGCACCCTTAGTGATTACTTTGTATTTTGGCGTTGAAATAAAAAAGGTAAACAGCATTTCAATTACAAGTCGACACAATGGTTGCGTTCAGCGGATATAACGATTGCACAACGGTTGAGTAATTCATCAACGTAATTGGTTTAAATTTAAGGATTTAGCAGTAAGGACCAATAATCAGTGACTGCTCACTGATTTTTGATCTTTACTGTTCACTGCTCATATTTCTGCTGAACGTAGTCTACGTTGCTGGGAAGTACTCGAAGTAACCATAATTGTGATTTCTTGAGTGATCAACGAATTACTTTCTTCAATAAATAACTAGTAATGGTCATGAATTACTTTTTAAAAATAACTTTCCTAACACTGTATAATTTTGTGCCTGATAGAAAAGGCAGATATTTATCGAGCAGCAACTATATTGACCTTTTTTGCGTTATAGGCTTGATGGGCTATGTGACCAAAGAACCGGAATATGTCAAAGATCCGCCATTGTTTGATCCAAATCATCCGTTTAAACCAAATAAATTTTAGATTTATAATGGGAGTTGTATGTACATGTATGTATGTATATACACATATATATATATGTATAATATTAAAAACAGATTGATAATTTGAGAATTGGTTTCTTTTTTGGACCTCTTTTGAACTATAAGCATATAAACTATGTTCCGATATTCACTGAAAGTGGGATCCTACGAGGGTGGATCAAATATAAACGAGCCTTTTGTAAAAAAAACCATATATTTTTCAAAATCAATTCTAATTTACATTTTTCTTATTTTTCTACATAGTCTTCCAGCTTATCTATACACTTCCTCCAACGGTCTGGTAATTTTTTAATCATGGTATCATAAAAAGTTCGCGGACATGTATCAAACCAATTGCACACGAACTGCTGCACCTCCTCGTTCGTTGTGAAGCGCTATCCACCAAGGGTTTCCTTGAGTGGACCAAACATGGAAGTCGCATGGTGACAGGTCTGGGCTGTAGGGTGGATGTTCTAGGACAGCCCAGTGCATATCGGCCAATTTTTGTTGTGTTACTGCTGCGGTGTGGGGTCTGGCGTTGTTATGGAGAAGCAACACATTTCTGATCGGAATGTCGCGCCTTTTTGACCGATAGGCAGCTCGAACTGAGAGATTTCCTGAGAGATTTCAAGAATAGTTAAGTGTCGATCGCCTTCAATGAGTTCTCGAACAGCCTCGGTGTTCTGCGCTGTGATGCCAGTGGACCTATTATATAGAAGTCTGTGCTTCCGACTGATTTCTCACGATATCTCGAGGTATTGCAAATTTAGTTTTGCATATGACGATTGACAGCTTAAGATTAGTATTACATACGTCGTTCGATGAGTTTGTTGGATGTATCGATTGGCAGTCAGATAAAGAATTTCTCAGGTGTCTACAAAAAAATTTAGGGATCTTTGATATTCTATATCTAACAGCCAATCGGCATATTTGACAATGTCCGTCGTACGGCGTATGTAATATCAGCCTAAGAAAGAATGGGAAGGTCCTATTAGCGCGATAGCACGTATTCACTCACATCGGTCCGTACCTAGAGTGTTTCTGCTGGACCACCAATTAGAAAATTTTATATTAAATTAATCAATCACCTATGTAAGCTATCAGAGCCCGTCCGTCCTATGTGTACGTAATCTGGGTCTTGTGTCTATGATGCTAAATCCACATATATAATATTACTATTTAGCCAGTTGTCCTATGCTGCCTATAAGAGGGAACCGTCTCAGAAGCGAAGCCAGAAGATGATGAAATGTGTGTATATATACACACACATATATGTGCTAAAATATGTTTTATTTTTCTATTGGCGGAGACGTCAATCTTACGCATGCGCATTACGTTCAAAATATATACAGAGAGAGAGGAAAATATATTACTGTACCGTGGTTAGGAGACAGGACTTCCCTCTCACCCTGGTCATATATTAATATTATAGTAATATTACATATATGGCTAGATCTCAGAGGATGGGGCCTGATTGACTATGTCTCTATTGACCACCGATGGGCCAATACTAGAAAAACACAATATCTAATAACTTTCAAGCATTTATCAATATAAATATATCTCAGACTGAAACTTAGCGTCATGAACATAAGACTTCAGGGAGTGTGATTAAAGACATATTACATAATAGAAAAGAATTAAATATAAGATATAAATATAGAAATCGTGTCGTACAGCCGTTCATTTCATACAGTTGTGTGAAAATAATTCTTAATTCCTATTCCTAATATTTAATACTTATTTTTATTCCCAATATATGCTCTATTGGGCGCAAAGCCTAAATGTATCAAAATTAGGATACAGTGTATATACGAATAAGAATACAAAGAATATTATTTACATTTTACGTCACCATGTTGGATCCCGAGTGTGACAAGAAGTTTCTTTACAGACTTTAAAATATTATTTGATTTGCTCTTTTGCACGAAAATGCCGTTATGCCTGTGGCTTTTGCCCACAGAATGCGGTACTGTTTGCCGCTCGGCAAGAAGCGACGCGGTAGCCAATCAACGTGCCGTTTTTCGAGAGCTGAAAGTTTATTGGCTGCCGCGTCATTTCTTGTCGCGCGTCCAAGCATTGCCGCGTCCCGTGGGCAGAAGCTATCGCACTATTGATTAGAGCTGTGTTCAAGAATCCACACTGTGTGCACCACAAGATACTAGCTGTTCTGAAACACCTAGACTATATTCGAAAACATCACTGTTTGGTATGCTTCAGTGACTGAAATTACGAAAGCATACCAAACAGCGATGTTTCCGAACATAGTCAGAGTATTTCAGAATATCTGGTGGCTAGTGGTGCACACAATGTGGATTCCTGAACGCAACTGAGGATTGAAATTTGATTAGAGTAAGTTTAACTAAACTTGAGTTTAGCAAACTTGGCTCTGATTCGTCAAATTGCAACCGATTATACAATGATTGAATAATTCGTCAACATAATTGGTCTAAATTTAGGGATCTAACAGTAAAGACCAATAATCATTGACTACTCACTGATCGCTTGTGTTTACTGAACGCAGCCATTGATTTCGGAACGCAAAAACAATTGGCTTGTTCTTTTTAACTGCACTGCTGAACTAGTGCGATAAGTTGAAGTGAAACAAGTATAGGTTTTCTTACTTCAACTTATAGTACCAATTCAGCAGTGCAACTAAAAAGAACAGACCAAGTACTACCAGTACTGTCAGTACATTTCGGAACGTAGCCTATACAGAACAGACCAAGGAAACAGACCTAGTGTTTCAGTGACTGCGACTCAAGGTTTTTACATTTAATAATTATATACATTGCATTTTATTATATCAGGGCATCATTTTTATATTTAAATTTTGTTTAATTATTTAACTCTTACAAATCATCAAATAGTCACTTAATAACAGTAATATTTAGTATTATTTGTTAATGCATATACAATTTTTATGTGCTAATAACAATAGTGAAACTCTTATGATAATTATTTATTTATAGTTAGTTAATTATTTATTTATAATTTAACTACGCCAGCACGAATATGGATGAAATCTCACTTATTCGACGCGTTTTTGCACGAAATGAAAGAATCTGGAAGAAAAATGTGTCGCTCTGCCCCGCGAAGCAAGTTATTAATCGTCAGAGTTGACGATTTGACAGGTTAAGAAACCTGTCATACCGACGAAACTTTGCGATATGAGCACGCTTCGCGGTATTAAATCATGATATTAAATAAATATAAGTATTAAATCTTCGCCTTACTAAAAAATGTGTGATGAGTTTATCTTATACTAAAATTGAAATAGTGAAGATTAGCATAGATCCCTACGCAAAGTATGTCTGCTAAACAGAAACTAATATAAAAAGTAATAGAGTAATTATAAATTCAGATAACAATATTTTAAATAAGTAAATTATAAGTTAACAACATATCTTACGTAAGGGCCTTTGCAAATTTTCACTGTTTTCATTTTAGTAGTAAACAGAATCATCGCACGCTTTTAGTAAGGTGAAGATTTAATACTTATATTTATTTAATACCATGATTTAATACCACGAAACATGCCATATCGCAATATTTCATCGGTATGACAGATTTCCTAACCTGTCAAGTTGTCAACTTTAACGATTAATAACTCACTTCGCGGGACAGAGCGACACTTTTTTGTCATATTCTTTCGTTTCGTGCAAAAACGCTTCGAATAAGTGTGATTTCATCCATATTTGTGCTGGCGTAGCTAAACTAAATAATTACCACTCTACCTTTTTTCTTTAAATGTGTTTTCACAAAGGTCACATTTACTTATTTATACTATAAATATTCTCAGTCATAAACATCAATCATAATCATGACCAAGATTTGAAAATATAATGGGACTGCTTGATTAAGATCAAAGTTATATAAAATTAACAAACAATAATTGCAAATTTAGTTTGCTTATATTTACAATAAATGTTACAAACAAGTCATCTATTAATTAATCCTGAAAAATGAGAAGATTCTCGTATCATTTTTTATGATTGATCTTATATTTTTTGTGGTCATTTATATTTTTTGATCTTATATTTTTTGTGGTCATTTTCTGCTGACATTACAATTAAAAATTGCAAACAATAATGGATCATAAAAAATAGTTGTACAATATAACACAAAATAGAGAAGTTATACTTTAATACAAGCATTGTTATCAGATTATAATTGATTATATGAAAGATTATATGAAAACAGTTACTCAATGGATAAGTGTCTTTCAAAGCACCTAATATGGAACTATTTGGAATCGATCGGAATCTTTTAATTATTTTCTAGGTTTTCTCTTGTATTTTATAGGGAGTACTTGAACGATTCTGATCAGAGTCGATTACGAAAAAGTCCATGTGTTCAGAATTGTTAAGCTCTTTCCAGGATCTTAAAGAGAAGATTGTTATCATAAAATATTCAATCACAATCATTCATAGACTGTGACAGAAATAAAATAAATTTTAATGTATCATGTGCGCGACAAGTTAGTATAGTCATAAAAAGACCTACCAGTGATAGAAATGCATTGCCCATTAGGAAATAACAAATCGAAAATAGTCATTTAAAGAACATAATGTCAAACCGTAAAACAAATGAAATTAAAATTATAGAAAAACAGGTCAAATGATATATATACAAGAAAAAGGAAAAGAAAATTGTAGAAGACAATAATATTAGACAAAAGTACATTTTTACTATGTTCCAATATTCACTGTCAGTGTTAAAAATCTATATAGTTCATGTTACATATACTATAAATTTTCAACATTGGTAATGAATACTGGAATGCGGATATTAATAATAAAGTTCAATAGCAAAAAATAAATATTTAACATTTCAGTATTCTACTATACCTTCAGACTGTTATTTTGTTTATTTGTATAAATGACCTCAAAAATTAATCTTTTATACTAATGTATTTTGCTATTAAACA